GATGTGACAATATGATTACAGGAAATTTGCAGAAGTCGCTTATAAAGATTAAGGAGATATTTTTTTAATCTTAATAACTTTAACCATTGGAAATTGATGTAATATCCAAGGTGTTATGCTAATTTCTATACAAAAATATTTTCTTATGAAACTGGATTTTCTGTTTGTAAGCTAAGCTTCATGACTTCATAACTGATTAGATCTTAATTTGTTTTTCAAAAGGTAAGAAACAACGTGCACACTTTTAGAGCTGCTGATTAATTTGGTCTGTATGATTTAAAAACACAAGTTTTTATTGCCCAGGATTTACCAAGAAAAACAAATTAAGTTCAGCAATCTCACTTTGCTTCTATTAAATTTCCCCCAAATAAATGAAAAATAAACTCAAAATATAGACATAAATCATCTGGTATTTTCCTTTTGAACACAGCGCATAGGAGAGAGAAGTGTACTATTGACTTCAGACCCAAATGGTAGAATTACTATTTTCCACGATTTACCCCCTGTTTAACATCAGACTGGACCATGTGCCTAAGTTAGTGCCAAAATACATGGCTCTGTTTACTACTTTCTGCCTTTCCAGCTATAGCAGGGCTTTGCTGAAAGTCATTGACACTAAAAAGAACAAGTGCACCTTAAGAGGGCGACTGGCTCACTACTCAAGCGTTAGCTCCAAAGTGGCTGCACCATGGTGGACTCAATGGTCCAGAATCCGGTCTTCAGTTTTACAGACCTGGACATGTGATGGTCTCTGTGCATGCAGAGAAGGCAGTCTCAGGTGGAATGACATACTCTCACTAACCACATTCACAAATGGCTGAAGTATACATCTGAAAGCAAACTTGATTATTTTCAGCAAGAAATAAAGTTGATAAGTCAACCAGATAGTCTTGTTGATTTGAAAGTGTATTCCAATCTGTATGAACAGGTTGGTTTAGGAGTGTGGAACTGGAGCAAAGTCGGTTGAATTTTCTTAGAGCCTAAGGTGATTGAACTTTGATGCCTCAATATACTCATCTTCTCTGTGGGATGAGAATACTCAGAATATTTGTTCGCTCAGAGCACTGGCTCACTTGAATGGTCCTAGAAACACACTGTCCAATTCTCAGTTTTGGCTTCCACTTTTAATCCACTCTGTTCGTGAAGTCTTAAATAATTTACGATAAGATAAGATTATTTTATCTTATCTACTTACATTCTTACCCTAGCAATGTGAATTAGTCAATTTCCCAATTCTTTTCTCCATGCATTTTTCTAAGTTGGATAGTTTCTGGAGATAGTTAATATCAGTCACTCTGTGCTGTTTATTCCTTTAATTTACAAAGGTCAGTATTATCTCCCTAATATGTGATCATTTTACAGTAACACCAGTATGCTCTGATGTGCTAACCATAATGGTGTTCCCAAGAGCTATGTCCTGAGCAGTATATAAAATATTGTTGTGTTTAGACACTTCTGCTTCAGGGTGGTAACTGTGAATGAGATCAAAGAAAAGGAGCTGAAAGACACCAAAAAATTAGTATTGTGTATGAAAACAGACTAATAATTTTTCAAAGCAGTAATGAAAGCCACCTTCTCCTCCCTCTCTTTTCTTGCTCTTGACCTCACAAGTAGTCAAGTGAATACTAAACTCTGTAGAGACACAAAGTAGAGTTCAATCATTCTGCAAAGGGCACAAATTACTGGGTAGGTATATCAGGGAGGTTTCAGATTCCCTAAGGCAGACGTGCTGACTGAATTTAGTCTGTTTTTCCCAGGCTTGAAGAACACAGATGACTTTTTTATGACTGCATTTTGTGATGTTAGTCAAATTGGGGCCTGGAGGCAGGAGATAGCCCATAAAGGTCCATTCTAGTGCTCCAATTCAATCATCAGAAGAGAGACGTGGGTGGCTCCGAAGTTCAGGAAAGCCACACTTAAAATATCCCCCCCAAGGCTGACCTTGTAGTATTTCAAAGCTGTCCTTTTAAATATGTTCCATAAGCTTTTTGATCACTGTTTTTACAGTGCTATTTATAATATGCAAATGTGAAAACAATCATAAGCACATTTGAATTATAAACCCTAGTGGATAGAAAGGAGCACTAATGCTAGCATACTTTGACAATGTTAGCTATGCCAAGATCCCAGGTGAAGGGCCCCTGCTCTCTGCCACTATTGTCATCCTAAAAGCCTTAGAAAATCATTTCTAAACTCTGTCTTTGGGAAAGGGTAATCTGGCTTTTTGGCAAATGGTGGTGCAATAGATTCATCCAGAAAGTTGAAGAATTCTTTTTATAACCTAAAAATACAGGTACAGGATATAAATAATTTTTGTGTGTGTGTGTGTGAGGAAAGTTGGCTATGAGCTAACATCGATTGCCAATCTCCCTCTTTTTGCTGAAGAAGATTAGCCCTGGGCTAACATCTGTGCCCATCTTCGTCTATTTTTTGTATATGGGATGCCTCCACAGCATGGCTTGATGAGTGGTGTGTCTGTCCGCGCCCGGGATCTGAACCGGTAAACCCCGGGCCGCTGAAGCGGAGCGAGCGAACTTAACCACTACGCCACCGAGCCGGCTCCCTAAATAAATTTTTAAAAAGGGAATTTGTCTAAAGTACCATGAATTGTCTAAAAAATAAGTAAAAAATCATCAGAGGTGTTTATAATAATTATTTTAAATGAATACATTAAAATCTTTTTTTCTTATCTATAAATGTATGGCCTTGAAAGATAATGTCTTAAGGGCATCATTTTTGTGATATCAAGAGTAGAAAAGGTTGAAGGTTATCACCCAAAACCAGAGTCTCTAGCCTGCCGTAAGGTGGTGATGGAAGAGGTTGTCAGATAGGGTAGCAGATTACTGAGCAGATTGTTGAATTTTGCTTTCTATGGTGATCTTTTGCATTTTGAGAAATTCTTCTCTCTTTTAAGATGATTTAAACATACAGTTATGAAGCAGATCAGAGCTTTTAAATCAAAGTTGAAAATCGTCTCTGCTACCAGGAGTACAAGTATGTTGCCTTGAACATATGCATAAATAAATGGGAAAATTATGTACATGATTGAAAACATTTGCTTTCTGGCAGTCTCTTCTGGAGAAGTAAAACAGTAGAGAGGAGAGAAAGTTGAGAGAGCTAAACTCTTGCCCAAATGTCATACTTCTCTTACTCTATAATCTTCTGAGTCTGTTCATTCTGTCTGAGTTTCTCATCACTGGAAACAGAAGTCCAGCAGCAGTTGATAGCTACATAAAGTAGTATGACGCCAAATCTCAGCTTGTTCAACTCCCTTAGAGTAGCCTCAGCCCTCTACTGTGACATGATGGTTAAAAGGCTGGGCTCTGGAATAATGAATCCCAGTTTCACCACTAGTTGCATGACCTTGGCCATATTATTTAACCTTTGGTGACTTGGTTTCCTCAAAATGGAGACATGGGTAATATCAACCCAAGGAACTGTAAGGATAAAATGAGATAATTCATATAGAGTTCTGTGCATAGTACAGAACTTGGGAAGCACTCCATAAATGTTAGCTTATACTATTTATTGACATACAAGGATTTCTTCTCAGTTCATTGTTTCTGTCTGTTTTTCTACTTGAACATGTGTATTAGTTTCCTAGGGCTGCTGGTACAAAGTACCACCAGCTCAGCAGCTTAGAACAACAGAAATTTCTTGTCTCACAGTTCTGGAAACTAGAAGATCAAAATCAAGGTGTTGGCAAGGCCATGCTCTCTCTGTAACCTGTAGAGGAAGGATCTTTCCTTGTATCTTCCAGCTTCTGGTAGCCCTAGACATTCCTTAGCTTGTGGCGGTGTAATCCCAGTCTCTGCCTTCATCTTCTCATGGGCTTCTCCCTGTGTCTCTTCATGTTATCTCTCTGTGCATGTCTGTGTCCAAATTCTCCCTTTTTATAAGAACACCAGTCAATTCAGATTGAGGCCCTCTCTAATGACCTCATTTTAACTTGATTACCTCTGTAAAGACCCTATTCCCTAATAAGGTTATATTTTGGGATATTGAGGGTTAGGACTTCGACATATTGGGGGGGGGGGGAACACAATTCAACCATAACAGCACGATTCTGTATCTTTCTCTTCAATTCAGTGTTCCTTTCCTTCCCCAATGGAGAAGTGTCATATAATATGGCACCAGAATGGGAGTTTTTAGGTGTAAGTTTAGCTTTGCCATTAACTATCTACATTCAAAGAAATCACTCAAATTCTGCAAGCCTGGGTTATTTCACTATAAAATAAAAGAACTGGGCTGGATAATGTCTAACATGTCTTCCAACTCCGAAAGGTCATGATTATAATGTATGACTCTTTTTCTCTCAACTACAGTGTGTATCTCAACTCTCCATGATGCTCTCTGCATCTTGATATCCCTATAACTAGTAGTAAAGCTTCTGATATATCTCATGGCATTTTCAATTTGGATTAAAATTCCACTGCTTGTAATGCTATTTAGTGGGGCTTTATCAAGTGAAATCTTGTTAGATTTAGATTGTAAAAATATCTAAATAGTGCCAGTGAGCCTCTCTCATGAATTTTTATTACTTTTTGGAATTTTCTAAAATTCGAAAATAAACATTTTTTTTCATGCCAAGCACCTTCCATGTCAAAATAAGATCCAAAGTATGAGGGTTTGTAGTATGTGTCTTTTCTGATTATAGTATAATACAACTCATGTGAAAATCATAAAACCAAAACTTAAGAGGTTAGGGGAAATGAGAAATTAAATTCTGCCAGTGATTCACAGACTATTGGCAGTTTTCCTAAAAGTTTGCTTAGACTACCATTATAGAAGGACTTAAAAGTCTACTCTACCACAGCTAGAGGAAAATTTAAAAAAGGAAATAGAAATCTGTACCAACTCTGGGATATAACATTTTTAGGGTCTCCCAGCCAGAAAGGTTGACCATAGATTCAAAATCATCCTGCGGCATTTTCTAATTCTTCACCTCATCTGAAAACTGCTGCCCTAGGTGTTAACTGAATTATCTTTTTCTCTTTCAGCTTCCTCCATTCTCAAAAGGGAGAAGCGGCTGAGGACAAAGAATGTGCATTTTAGTTGTGTCACCGTGTACTACTTCACCAGGAGGCAAGGCTTCACGAGCGTGCCCAGTCAAGGGGGCAGCACCCTGGGCATGTCCAGCCGCCATAACAGCGTGCGCCAGTACACTCTTGGCGAATTTGCGAGAGAGCAGGAGAGGCTCCACCGGGAGATGTTGAGAGAACACCTCAGGGAGGAAAAACTGAACTCTTTAAAACTAAAGGTAAAAAAAAGTTAGAAACTCACTTTCTGCAAAACCTCATATTCTTACCTCCATTTGGTTGAGTTAACCATTTTCATATTTATATTCACGGACTGAACTGGGCATTTTACATAGCAGATTGCCTGCTGAGGCTTTTTTTATTTTTAAAGCAAAAACAGTATAATCTCTTCACTGAAAGCAATGTGGAAAACTTACCTGGCATTGTTTCTTTATTCATTCTATAAATATTTATTATTGAGTGTTGCTAGGTCATAGACTCCGTGCTTGGACTGGGGCTAACTGGTATCAAAAAATTCATGTGATCCTTTCTCTCTTGGAACTTATATATTAATAAGAAAGAAAAATATTAATCATGTAGACAAAATAAAATTACAGCTTCATTTAGTGCTATGAAGGACAGTTGCAAGGAGCTATGAAAGTATATAACAGGGAATTGATGTGGTCCGGAGATCAAGGAAGGTTTCCGCAAGGAAGTGATGGTGGAACTGAAATCTGAACAGATAACGAGGTGAAAAGGGTTGGCAAGAGTGGTTCAGGCAGCAGGAAGAGCCAGAGCTGCCTTGTGGCAGGAGGAAGCACAGAGAGCACACAAAGGCTAATGTGGCTGGGGCAGAGACAAACAGAGTAGAGTAACATGAAGGAGGTGGGGCTGGGCTTTGTAGGTCACGTGAAGGCATTTTTTTTCCTCTTCATCCTAACGCCATCAGAAGTCATCCAAGAGTTTTAAGCATGGGCTTGGAGTGGTGGGATAATATGATCTAATTAATGGTATGATGTGAGAATAGTTTGGGGGGAGTGGCAGCCATTTTAGGGGAGGCATATGGAGTTAGACCAGTTAAGAGGCTATTACAGTAGTCCAGGAGAGAGATGATGGAAGATTAAATTAGACTGATGGTAGGAAAGATAAAGAGAGATAGACAGAGGGAGAAATTTAGCAAGTAAAATCAACAGTCCTTGATGAGAGTTTGGATTTGGAGGGAAAAGAGGGGGACTCCAGAATGACTCCTAAATTTCTGGCTTGCAAAACTGAACGGGCTGTAGGTGATAGTGCCTTTCTCTATGACGAGGATATGACAAGGAATCCAGGAAGAGGAGTAGGTTGGGGCTGAGTGGGGAGAGGGGTAGATAATGAGATCATTTTTGAACATACTGATTTTGAGAGTCTTTTGAGTTATTAAAGAGATGTCAGGGAGATGTCCAGGTGGAGAGACCTATTGTTGTGCCACATTAGAGATTAAGTGGAGAAAAACACAACTCAGAAACTTGTTTCATCCATCAGAGACACTCTTTATATTTGTATTGATTCATCAACCTATCAATATATAGGAAATGCTCTCCCATCATTGTCTAATGACAAAGGAAATCTTTCTTAGATAATCCAGGGTACTTAACATAGAGAGTCATTCATTAAACGGCTGAAATACCATAAGCACACCTGTGTTACCTGTACCTTTAGTTTCCAGTATGAAGTCAGGAGGCAGAGGTGTGAAGTGTTTCAGAACACCTTGTTTTTATGTATTTTGCAATTTACGTATGTGCATTATTCCCAGTTGCACAAGAAGCCAGTTGCTTAAATTAAGTACAGCCTAGCCTAGAGCATATCTCATGTTTCCTTTGGTGGTATTTTTGACAGGTTTCACTGAAAGTCCCTTAAGATTTTTTGTTAGCAATCCATTATTATTGTTGTTGTTTTTTATGATTTCTTTCCATATAGCTTAATTCAATAATAATTCTCAGAATTTCTTCTGAAATCCACCGTCTCTCTTTCTAACCCACTACAAACCAACTCTAACCTCTACCCAAAGAGTGAAGTCATTCTCCAATTCAAATACAGGCAGAACAATAGTAATGGCTGCCATTCATTTAGTGATATTTTATTTGCCAGGCATTTTATAAACATTATTTAATTTAATCCTAACAAAGACCCAGTGGGATAGGTGAATTATGAGACCATGTGTACAACTGAAGAAAAAAAGCACAAAGATGTTAAATAACTGGCTCACTTAATAGAAAACTGGTTATATTATCCTGTTACATCCTATTCCAGAATTAATTGATTATCCCCCACAGGCATAGGGAAAGACAATCTCTGGACCTATAGGGAGTCATCCCTTTCCGGGATTTGGTACTGTGTGCAGTGGTTTTTAACAGCTGGAGGCTGTAATTCTATCTGAGAACCAAAAGATTTATTATGGTGAACTTTGAGACACATGGTGCATGTGATGAATGTTAGGGGGAGCCACACGCCTACAGGAACCTTCTTCCATATCAGGCAGTGATATATTCTGATAACTATAATTTGTATTCAGCTATTTCTATGCTTCTTATTTTTAACAAGCTGAGGAAGAAAAGAAGCAAAAGGAGCATTTTCTTATTGATTCATTTTTCTCATTGTGCTTAGTGTTGGAAGTTGCAGAGGCAATCGTCCAGGGGGTGTCATGTCTTGGTTTGTCATTGATAAGTGAAAACATGCAGGTTTCTCTTTTGGTGAAGATATAAACAAAAGGCATTTGGATATCATCACTCCTTCCAAATGACCATCAAACAAAAAGATAATGAGATTCTGAGGTGATCTGATATTAGCCTCACGGTACTGAAAGTATTCAGAAACTCAGAAACACATGTCACATGAAATTAATAAAAGATCACAGCAATGTGGACCAGTTTGCTAAAAAAATCTGAGGAGAATTAATGGAGGAAAGCTTGTGTATTTTAACTGTAATTCCTCTAGTATATTAACTTTTAGGATTTTTAAAATATCATTGACTATACTTGTCTAAGGTTTAACTATCTGAAATCTAAAATTAGCTATCCAAAAACATGAGCTATCCAAAAATTTCACTCTGATACTTGAAATTTCACCTTTAATATAACTTTTATTTGGAAACATAAATACCTGTGAGGTAAGTAACAAAATAAATGTAGCTAAATTGATTCCATTATTTTAACTGGGGCAGCAGGAGGATTACTGGCCCAGAGAAGGGTTCAAAGTGGAAAGCAAGGATTGTTAAAGACAAACTTTGCCACCTTGGTTTTGCCTGGAGGTGGTCGTCTCTGAATGGCAGTGAACTGCCTATAGGGTAAGAAGAGAGAGGGCAGCCTCTGACAAGACACTTTCCAAAGCCCTCATTATCAAACATTTTTCAAAGCCCTCAGTATGGAGACCAGATAAAATGCCACCAGAAACTCATTGGACTTGGAACTGGGAAGCTTCCCTCCTACTTATTTGAGAAACAACAGCCCCAGAACAGTAAGGAGAAGTTTCTCTTTCCGCTGTGCCTCCACATCTTTCCAGGGTGCCTCTCTTGGTTCCCAATAGAGAATTTATACAATGGCACCTCCTCCAATGAGGCCTTAATAGTGAAAGATTAGTAAAAAGAAACATACACATACCCACTTTTTGATGTTTCCTTATAATAAATATTTTTGAAACAAAATAAGAATAGAAATTTAGTTTTTTATTGTAAAATTGCTTCTTATTTGGTAATTCATCTCAATCAAATCGAGTCAGATATATTGAGAAATAATATATACAGTTAGATTTGTAGAACAAATCCAATTCCATTTTGGGTGTTGAAATATGTCTTTTTTGTTGGTTGTGTTGGTGTTCCAAACATTGTCTAAAAACAATTAATGGAGAAAGCTGATTGAATAAAATACATGTTCCTAGAAGAAATAACTAGCTTTAGATTTCTAAATTACAGAGCACAGTCCTATTTCTCTGTCAAGCCCATTGAAACATGTCATACTCTTCACAGTAATCAGTGTAGTCATCTTAATACTATACTCTTTTCCAAATTAAGTGCTTAGATTTCATCATCTGCACCACATTATTGAACAATTACATTAGCCTTTATTCCCATTTCACATGTATCTGTAAAATGCATTAGGCAGCCATTTGTATGTTTCAAAGAGGCTTGGCATTCCAATTGCCTCTGGGTTATATCTTACTGGATTCTACTACCTTGTTCTGGGAAATCTAATTTAGCTTTCACAGCTTTGACTGCCCTCTCTTTCTCAATGTTTTTTCAATCTTAGTTTTTCTTCCTCTCCTATCTGAGATCAAAAGTCTATCTCCACTCTGGTACCATTTCCAATCGCTTTCCGGGGTTATATAGTTTTCTCAATTTTTGAGTCATGTGTTTCTTAAGTAATTCTTAGTTATTTGCTCTCTTTCCTCTTAAAGAAAGAGTTGCCAGATGGTAACTCTTTCTTTAATGATAAACCTTTTAAAAATCTCTATCTAAATCTTCTTCACTGCAAATCTTACATTTTATGACTGTGCTTTATTCACTTAGTGACTTACCCATGCAACATTATAATTCTCCTCCTTCACCTCCAGCCCTGCCCCTTGTATCCCTTCAACAGTCTTGTGATTTAACTAACCTCCAGATAAAGATCCTAAATGTTCCAGGAGATATAAGAGATTAGCGGCTTGTGAGAGATGGTTGACATAGGCTATTATCTCTAACCTGCAATTTCCAAATTTCTGGATGTGTTTTTAACTGTTTCCTCATACTGCAGTTCTTTATTAGATAGGTCAGATTTGCTGGTCATGGTGTTTTTTAACTCCACTTGTCCCTATAGAACATCTCTGCTGGACTCTGCAGAGATTACTCAAGAGCGTACTTAGGGGCAGTTCTTCTAGAATGCATCCCTAAATAGAGGCCTGCTCCAACACCAATGGAAAACTTGGATGTCCCAAATACCTGCCATGTCATATGCACAATCTATTTGGTTACAATACACCTAACCAAAGTGGGGAAGACTGAAAGCCTGGGCTTCAGCCCTGAGCAAATGCAATACATTTAAGAATAAGTTCTTTCAAAATATGGCTGGTATTTTAATTTTAGTGGAGCAATTAAGCATATGTAATCAGATCTCTACATTCTTCCTGTGCAATAAACATTGATCTTCTAGTTCAGAAGAAGTCAGTGGAAATGATTCTCCTGATTAAAATATGGTGTGCTAGAGCCAGCTTGCAAAAGTTGCTCACTAAC